CTCTCTCAACTTCTCCTCTTTAATCTCTCTTCTTCTCTGCTCTCTCTATATTCCTGTTCTTCTCTCATCCATTCCCGCTCTCTCCCTCAATCTTCTATCTTTCCAAATTATTCTTACCTATCAGTGGTATCTGAGCAGACGCTCCTCAGCCCCCTCTTCTATATCTCCAATCACGGTTCATGGTCAAGACGCGCAGCAGACACAACAAAGCCGACAAGAGATGGAAGATTTCATGGTCAAGATCGGAGAAAACAATGGAAAGATTGATGCTTTGACAGAATTGGTTGATGGGCTTTCCCAACAATTTCAATCTTTGGTAAGGGACCGAGAGGCTGAAAGAGAAGGCCACCGCCGAAACGGACAGATTGCTAAACGCCATCATGAGCATGAGGATTATAGACGCAGAGATGGGTAGGAACGAAGAGAATATAGGAGGCCCACTCAATTCACGAAGATGGAATTCCCAAAGTTTACTCGGGAAGACGTTCTCGGTTGGATTATGAAATGCAAGCAATATTTCGAGCTTGATGAGACACTAGAAGAAACCAAGATCAAGATAGCAAGCATGCATCTTGACCCAAGAGCCTTCCAATGGTATCAAGCTTATGAGAAATCATGGGAAGGAGTTCGGCTGACTTGGGAAGAATATATAGAAGTGAAAGATCGTTTCGGACCTGTTTATGAGACCCCAATGAGCGATTTAGCTTGTCTGAAGCAACAAGGAGTTCTGGTAGAGTATCACGATGAGTTTGATATGCTCGCGTGTAAGCTGCGACTGCCAGAAGAGTATTTGGTGGACATGTACCTCTTGGGTCTTCGAGAGGAATATGAGGGTCCAGTCCGCCTTTTTAAACCTTGGACCCTGAGGGAGGCTCGAAAACTTGCGAGAATGCAAGAAATCATATTCCAGAGACAGACCGAGAAGAAAAGCCAGAATAAAGGGGGAGGATACGTGGCCCCCTCAGTTTCAGCCACCCAACCCTTAGTACCAGCCACACAACCCTTCCAGTCAAACACATGGGGCTCCTAACAAAAAGCACTAATGGGCAATGAGGCCCATACCAAAGCCAAGACACCCTCCTTACCTTAGAAAAGTGTCTCAATAATCAAAAATTGGTCGATACTGTCCCTAAAATTCTTTCAGCAGACGAAGAAGCTGAACACAGAAGAAAAAATTTGTGCCTCTACTGTCATGAAAAATTTTAACGGGATCATAGATGCCCACAAAAGCAGAGATTACAGCTTCCTTTTATTGAGGTTAATGATGTCCCAGAAGAAGTTACTCAGTCTGAAGAAGACGATGAGGTTGAAGGGGAAGAAACCCAACCTTTTATCTCACTACACGCTATGGAAGGAGTTGATGATTGTTCTTCAATGAGGCTCATGGGGTATTTTGGCAAGAGACAGCTTCATATTCTAATTGACAGTGGCAGCACCCATGACTTTTTGGACTTTAATGTGGCAAAAAGACTTGGATGGCAAGCTGATGGAACGAAGGAGGAATGGGTAGAGGTGGCTGGAGGAAGAAGACTGAAAGTGCATGGAATTTGGGAGGGGTTCAAATGGAGAATGCAGGGCTTAGAATTTTCTTTTGATTTTAGAATTCTTGAATTACATACCTATGATTTAATACTGGGGCTGAAATGGCTCAAAAGTATTAAAAATGCTTTCTGGGATTATGAGTCTCTAACCATGTTTTTTTGGCTTGAAGGTAAAATGTGTAAGCTTCAAGTTATGCCTTCCAATACCCTACGAGTTGTGCAACCAAAGTGAGTGGAAATTAAGGATTTTTTTACTAACCAAGTATTTTTGCTGCAATTAATTCCAAAGGGGCGTGCGAAGGTGGAAATCTTCTCAGTACAAACCTGTACGGAAATCCCAAAGGCGATTAATTCTACATTGCAAGGGTTCCCTGACCTCTTTGAAGCACCCAAGGGGTTGCCACCATTTCGTGAGGGGCATGATCACTCTATTGTTCTTCAAGAAGGCACCAATCCTATAAACTTAAAGCCCTACAGATATCCCTCTGCCCAAAAAAGATATTATTGAAGGGTTAGTCAAGGAATTACTACACACTGAGGTAATACAAGAGAGTTCCAGCCCATTTTCTGCTCCAATTGTCTTAGTCAAAAAGAAGGATGGTACTTGAAGGATGTGTATAGATTATAGGGAATTGAATAAAAAGACAGTGAAAAACCAATACCCTATTCCCTTAGTGGAAGACCTCTTTGATGAGTTAAGTGTTGCAAAATGGTTTACAAAATTAGACTTGAGGGCTGGTTATCATCAAATCCGAATGGTGCCTCAAGATGTTTCAAAGACTGCTTTTAAGACACACAGTGGGCATTATGAATGGTTAGTTATGCCATTCGGTCTAACGAATGCACCAGCAACTTTCCAAGGGGCTATGAATAGTATATTCCGTCCTTATTTGAGGAAGTTTGTGTTAGTTTTTTTTGATGATATATTAATCTATAGCTCTAATCTTAATGATCATGTGCAGCACCTCAAGGAAGCGTTTTCTATTTTGAGACAGCATCATTTCTTTATTAAAAAGAGCAAATGTTCTTTTGCAGCAAGTGAAGTTGAGTATTTGGGACATTTAATTGGTGGTGGACAAGTCCGGACAGATCCCAAGAAAGTGCAAGCAGTGGCTAAATGGCCTGAACCCACAAATATTAAGCAATTAAGGGCTTTCTTGAGGCTGGCTGGATACTATAGAAGGTTTGTCAAGGGCTATGGGATTTTAGCTAAGCCACTAACTCTTCTTAAGAAGAATGGATTTGAGTGGTCAAGGGTAGCTGCAGCAGCTTTTACTAAACTCAAAGAAGTCCTTATTTCTGCACCTGTGCTCACTCTTCCAGATTTCTCGAAACAATTTGTAGTTGAAACTGATGCTTGTGGAGTAGGGGTAGGGGCTGTTCTAATGCAATCTGGTCAACCAATTGCTTATTTTAGCAAGGGTTTGGCTGAAAGGCATCAAAAACCCTTGATATATGAAAAGGAATTGATGGCTGTGGTCTTGGCTGTGCTTCATTGGCATCAATATTTGGAAAGGAAAAGATTTATAATAAGGTCAGATCAGCAAAGCCTAAAATATCTGCTAGGGCAGAAGTTAAAAACCAGTTTTCAGATGTTTTGGTTTGCTAAATTAGCTGGTTTTGACTATGAGATTCAGTACAAAAAGGGAAATGAAAATTCTGTTGCACATGCTCTCTCAAGAATACTGAAACAGCAAATTATGCAGATGATATTAGACACATCATCACCAGAGTTGCTTGAGAAGATAAAGGAAAGTTGGGATGTAGATGCTGTTATTTCAGAAATCCAAAAGAAAACGCAAGAAAATGAGGGAGTCTGGGGTCATTTATTGGGATGGGAGCTTATTAAGAAGAAGAGGGAAGCTGGTGATAGGTTCTCATCCTCATTTGAGGCAACAAATATTAGAATGGCTCCATGCAAGCCCACAAGGTGGTCATTCAGGAATTCAGGCTACATATCAGAGAGTTAAGTCCTTATTTTGGTGGAAAAAAATGATAATTGACATTTCTGATTTTATTAAACAGTGTGATACATGTGCTAGGTGTAAATATGAGACTGTTGCTGCCCTGGGCTATTACAGCCTTTGCCTATTCCTAGTAAGGTATGAGAGAGTATCATTATGGATTTTATTGAAGGACTCCCTAAATCCTTTGGTAAGGACACTATTTGGGTAATAATTGATCGTATGAGTAAGTATGCACACCTTTTACTACTCACTCATCCCTTTTCAGCTTCTATTTTAGCTCAAATTTTTATGGATCAGGTTTATAAATTACATTGGGCACCATCTGAAATTATTAGTGACCGTGACCCTTTATTTGTTAGCGGCTTTTGGAAAGAGTTTTTGCAGGTTTTGGGAATAAAGCAACTTCTTTCCACTGCGTATCACCCTCAAACGGATGGGCAGTCTGAAGTGCTTAATCGTTCTTTGGAAACCTACCTTCGGTGTATGTGTTGGGAACAACCCAAGCAGTAGAGTAAGCAGTTGTCTCATGTAGAATGGTGGTATAATACCACTTTTCACACAGCAACTAAGGCTACTCCCTATGAACTTCTACATGGTCAGAAACCTCCTGTCCATTCTCCTTATTTACCTCATAATAGTGTGCTAGATGCTGTGGACAGGTCATTTACAGCAAGAGAAGAGATGATAGCTGTTCTCAAACATCATCTCCATCGTGCTGCAAATATGATGAAGCAAAGGGCAGACTCACACAGATCTGATCGGGAATTTGCAGTGGGACAATGGGTTTTCTTAAAGTTACAACCTATAGACAGCTTTCTGCAGTTTCTAGGAGTAACCAAAAATTGGCTCCCAGATATTTTGGTTCTTGCAAAGTGATTCAAAGAGTTGGAGCAGTAGCATACAAGTTAGAACTACCACCTGATTCTAGAATACATGCAACCTTTCATGTATCCCTATTGAAGCTATGTCCTGATCCTAAAGTCAAGCAGAGGCATCCACCTCTTGACTGGCCTGAAATACCTCCCATTTTAGAACCTGAATGCATTTTGCAGAAAAGAGTTGGCCAGAAAAAGAGGAGGATAATTACTGAAATTTTGGTCAAGTGGAAGCAATTACCTGAGGAAGAAGCATCCTGGACAGCTTTGCATCAGTTTCACAGCAATTTCTTCAATTTGTTGTTACTGATCCTTGAGGGCAAGGATCTCTTTGAGGGGGGTATTGTTATAAATTTGTAATTAGGATATAATTGGTTAGTTAGTTAGTTAATATAGCCGTTGGGAAGAGCGTTGGGAAGGGACGTCTATATATAGGCTGATAATTGTATCTTGATGTTTTATGAAAAGAAGACGTATTATTCAGTGCAATCACTACTTCTCAATCTCTCTCTTCTTCTCTGCTCTCTCTATCTTCCTGTTCTTCTCTCATCCATTCCCGCTCTCTCCCTCAATCTTCTATCTTTCCAAATTATTCTTACCTATCAAATGCCCTGTACCTTCAAGTAGAGGTCCTTACAGCGTTGCTTCCATTTAAGAGTGTATCCATATCCTACTGTAATCGTGTACTCTGGTATCTCATCCATTGGGAGATCCTTTTTGCTGTGTAGTTTCTCTGAGATGAAATTGTGGGTGGCTCCACTATCTATGAGGATGACAATTTCTTCTTCCCCAATTTGGCCTCTTACCTTCATGGTATGGTTGTCACCAAATCCAGCTATGGAGTTTAGAGAAAGTTCCATATGTGTGGCTTCTTCCTCTTCCCCATTGCACTTTCTTTCCGGTTCTTGCTCAATCTCAGTACCCTCTGCACCTTTTTCAGAATTCATTTCCAGCAACATTACTTGGTAGTGTTTGTTTTTGCACTGATGATTCGGGCCAAGTTTGTCTCCGCATTTGGAACGAAGTCCCAACTCCCTTCGGTGATTAATCTCAACGTCTGAGAGTCTTCGAGAAAAGCCTCCCCGCTGGAAAGTGGATGAACTCGCCAAACTACCCTGAAACTTTGACTCCCCTATTTTCGTTTCGGCCTTCTTGTTCGCTTCAACAGTCGCATATGCCAAACTTGCAGTGACTGTGATCTTGCTCGCTTCTGGTATGTGTGTTACACGTGAGAAATAAGGTTGGGCCTAATTAGTTTTAGGCCCAGATGGATACCGTTGAAACCCAAGTCTATGTGGACCTTTGTCTTCCTCAAGTATCCGATTTCTCTCTTCCACGCACAAAGCAGATTCAATAACTTCACGCAGAGATAGGGCATTGGTCAGCCTCAGTTCCACTTTGACTTCAGCCCTCAACCCGTTTCGAAAAGCGCCAATGAGATACTCCTCTGAAGCTTCCCTTAATGGTGCAGATAAACGCTCAAATTCCTCAACATACTCTAGCACAATTCGTTCCTGCTTTGCTAAAAAAAGCATCTCATAGTCCCCCCCCACATTGAATAAAATGAAATATGTGTAGCAACTCGCTTTTGAATTCAGCCCAGCTTCGCAATGAGGTTCATGTGTCAATCCGTTGGTACCAGTTAAGTGCTCTCCCTTCAAGACAGACCATTGTAGCTTCCATCTTTTCTTGATCTAAGATGGTGTTGACCAGGAAGTAACGTTCCACCCGAAAAAGCCAACCCAACGGGTCTTCTCCAGCAAAAACAGGTAACTCTAATCTTCTGTTCTTTCCACCATCCCTCTTACCATGTGGGTTACTCCTAGACGCATCCCCATGGTCACTGGCCTCTTGTTCTGGTACACGAGTTTCGGCCATTGTTCTCTGTATTAATCCCAACACCTCATTTGCCTTCTCTAGTGTCTCCTTGATGGTGGTTATATCTCTTGTCAGCACATCTACTGTCTCTTTTAGCTCTTGCACATCCAGATTTGCATGTTGCACACACTCTTTCATTATCACAGTGGTCTATGTAACTCCCTAAGATCTCACTGCTCTGATACCAAATGATGAAACCCTGTGGATTAATAAGCCAGAAAACAGCAAATACACAACAGCAGAGCACAAAATAAGGGAAATCCTAAGGTTTTAAGATTGATATGTTAAGATGCTGAATCAGAGTTACAAGAGGGACTCCTTGATTCAGTATAAAACCCTATTCCCTTGGTTCAATGGTAAATCACAGCAGCTAAAATAAACACAATCACCCCTAATACAAAACACCAGCTAGCTTTCAAGAGGCCAATCCTCTCCCTTCACGCTCAAAATACAAAAATGACATAACCCTCTTGGGGACCTCAAGCACAACTATAAACCAAGAGATAGCTGTCACGGACTCCAAAGAAAACCCTCTCCTAAGCCAGGTCAAAAGCAACTTTAAAGCAGCCTTAGTTGGTATTTCTTTGCTCCTTAATAGCTGGAGAGGTCAGGTCAACGTTCTGACCATCTCAAGGCATCTTTCCTTTTTCATGCTTCTTCTTAGTTCTCCTTTTGTAGGTCTGGGCAGCAAAAGCAATCCTAACAGGTTCATAGTGGAATATTTGAAGAGGTAGTTGTAAATAGTTGATGAGATAATTGTAAATATTTGAAGAGATCATGTTAATGTTGTTGAGAAATTGTGACAGAACTTTTACTTGTTTTTAACAGGTATAAAAATTAAAAACTCATGTTTGTATTTCTAAAATAGTGGCCCCCTGTTTGTGTTGTGATTGTAGAGTGAAATATGATTGTGTAATATGTGTAATTGCAAGTAATACTGAGTAGGAGGGAACATTTCAAATTTACAAGTATTGGGGCTGTTTAACTATGTAGATTCACTTTATCATTCCAATAGATTATGTCTTAACAAGGCTTCAGTGATAGGAAAACAAACAACCACTTGAGTGAAGGGGCATGTTAATGCCTCCAATTGAAAAGGTCATTATTTCTCGCTGTCAATACAAGTTCATATATTTTTGTGACACATAAGTATTCAGTCATTTGTTTTGCATTTCAACCTAAGGCGCAATGGCTCATTTGCACGTCGATATGATGTGGGATTTGGTCAATGATCTCAACATCAGAGCACAGGGAGATGCTATGTCTTTGTTAGGAGAAGACAGACCGAAGATGAAGAAGGCTAATTGGCATTGTTTGCAGGCTTATGTTATAGGTGTTCGAGTTATGACAATTCCTACTTTTATAATTGTTCTAGATATGGCCTATAACTATTTTGGAGACTAACTTAAGAAATTTAGAGATTGTAATTCAATGACATTATTGTACTGGGCATAAGATTATTGTTTTGGAGACTATCACTGCTTGATTCTATAAATCCAGCTACTATTTTCATTCTTCTCCAATTCTATTACTTTTCCTTCAGATTCTACCAATCTCTGGTTTGGCTACTGGTTTAATTTGAGAATCACCTGCTTAGCACAATACTGCTTGAAAGTCTGAGGACACTTTCTAGTCGAAGCACCAATAATCCAGAACAAACAACGGCAACCCAAATCCCAAGAGCTTCATAGAAGCCAAAGTATCAACATACATGCACGATATAGCAAATAAAGAAATTGTCCAACTTAAGATAGGACAAGAAATAGCCACATGAACCTCTATAATTTCAGAAAAGCAGTAAGCCAGCAACCAGTGATGTAACTATGCAATGCTTTAAAGGAACAGGTAGACAAAAAATTATTCCAAAAATTCACTAAGAAACATAGATACAATTTTGCATTGTCATTCCCAAATTAACTCATCTGGTAATTACTATTCTACAACTAGTGGGTACTCCTGAAACAACTTTCTTCTCTTAAAAGCTTTTCTGCTCAAGACAACATTGACTCTAGGAATGACTCTCTTGTCTCCCCAGACTAAACAAATTCAAAAAATTAGTCATTTTAAACTAGAACATTCTTGTTATGCTCCTTATCTTTTTCTACTGACTGCTGCAAGAAAAATATTGCACGGAGGGCAACACAAATGGCACTTATAATCAATACAAATATTGCTCATCCCGTCAAGGGATCTCATCTTCTTACTCACGAAATGCATTTTTTTTTTTTTCAAGAATGATTTAAAATTTATATGATATGATATATGCACATTCAAATATCTGTAAATCTTGTTAAAAAGGCCCCATTAAAGAACTTGTAAATAAATAAACAACACAAAATTCAATTAACCAAATTTTAATCCACACTCCATAGAAAATTTTAGTCCACCAATAATTAACAAATCCAGTCACCACAATTTATCTAAGAAAATATAAATCATAAATCAGAAAACACCCCATTACAGAAAACACTCATAAGTCAAAATAACAAAGAAGCAATGCAACAAAAATCACCCGGTAGGCAGTAACCATGGCACCATTGTGCTAAATTTGCAGAAGAAGATAGAGATGTCTCGGGAACATGGAGTTTGCAAGCTTACCTGCAGAAATTTTGATTGAAGCAGAAATGGGAGTTGGAAGAGAAGACGACGTCGTGGAGACTGGAAAGTAGCAGTAGGTGAGGAGAAGAGAAGACAAAGGGCAAGTTCAAGCCGTCGACGATCTGGGCACCTGGCTGGGGCGGTGACGAAGAGAAGACGAAGGGCAAGCTTCGACAATGTCGAGAGACGATCTGGACTCGAGTTCGAGTTCAAGCGCAAGCTTCAATCTTTCACGATGTGGCTGCGATGACGACGGTCTGGAGAAGGAGACGAGAGTTCGAGAGACGCTGCCTGGAGGAGACGACAGACGCTGCAGCGATTTTTTTTTTTTTTTTTAAACACAAAATTACGGTAAAACTGTGCAGAAAAATCAGAAATAAAAATTAAGTTATGTCAGAAGCTAAAAAACTACTACAATCTACAGGCGGTCTGTTAAAAAATTAATATTAAAATAATTTTTTGAAGCTTTGTGGACTTTCAGCTTTTAGGTTTAGCCGCACCGTTCGGGACTTTAACTTGGGTTGTTTTTGAATTCAATTAAGTATAATTATAAAAAAATTAATTAAAATTAATTTTAATATAATGGATTATGTTAACGTAATATAAAATTAATTTTAATCCGAATTAAAAAATAAAATTAAAAATAAAATTAAAAATAAAATAAAATTATAATTTTATAAAATGTATCCAAACTAATATTATATATTAAAATTAATTATAAATTTAAATCATGTTTAAAAAAATATCAAAATATCGTTATATATAATAAAATTAATTATAAATTTAAAATTATAATTTTTTAAAAATATTTAAACACCTTTATACATGTCAAAATCAATTACAAATTTAAAATTATGATTCATACGCTATTTTAAAAATTATTTAAAAATCATATAAATTATTTTACAAATTATATTTTTTAATTCATAATTGATTTTCTCTCAATAAAAGGTGTTTAAATTTTTAAAAAAATATAATTTTAAATTTAAATTAATTTTATTATATATAATGAGTATTTGAATATTTTTTAAAAAAATATAATTTTAAATTTATAATTAATTTTAATATGTAATATAAGTGTTTGGATAATTTTTATCAAGACGTGATTTCGGTACAATTAATTTATTTTGAACGTCCACACAAGGCACTTAGACTCCAAAGTTCTGACTTTAGTTCAGTGGGCTTCTCATCATCACACAACTGGATTAATTTAAAAATAATAATAATTAATGAAACGGACAAGAAGCTTTGGCCCACTATTTTCACGGTTCTGTCTATCTCAACTCTCTCTTAAAAATGGGTTCATTATTTCAGCCCAACTCACCAAATTTGGTGGGCTCACAGCCTAGTCAGGTAGGTTAAGTTTGTTTTCCTAGCTCTAGTCTTACATGGGTAATAATTTAGTTAAAAAACATTTATTTTTTTTGAAAATATTTACTTTTTGTTCTAACTTCAAAGTATCTGTGGAAATAATTTTTATGGTCGATGAAGCCTATTGCTTTTACTTATTAAAATAAAATTAGTTCAATTAGTAAAAATTTGGCTAATCTAACTTACAAAAAATTTTAGGATTAAAGTTCATTTTTAACCTTGATTTTTTTTAGGAGCATTGTATACGTTGTTTGTTAAACAGAGCAATTTTTCTCCTAAATTATTTTCCCCTGTTAGTAATCTGGTAACTCTACTATTTTTTGTTAACACGGCATATGGTGCTAATTTGTCCTTAAACTTAATGTTAGGCTCCATAAAGTCTTGTTTAAAATAAAATTTAATAAATATTTTTAAAATATTTAATATTTATTAAGAAAATGATCTTACAAGAAATTAATATTAATTAAATCCTTTAAATCTTTTAGGTCAATCTCTATATTTTTTTCTTAATTAATGATATTTCTTTAAAATATTACACCATCTAAATAGCAGAGCTTATAATAGCGCTTAGAGCTTCTTGATATACTTCACCAAGCATATCAACTCTAGAACAATTAACATTTTCTTTAGGGTGTTTCAATGGTTTATTCATGTTGAAAACTCACTTTTTCATCATCATCATCTATGAGCTTAACCTCCCCTTTTCAACATGAATAAGGATTCATGCAATAGCAAGAAAGGTCTCGCCACAATGTGTGAAACATTTTTATCTCCGTCACAATCTAACATGATAAAATCAATAGGGAAGATAAATCTACCAACTTTAACTTGGACATCCTCAATTTTTCCTTTCAAAAAAGCTAACCATCTATAAGCTAATTAAAGAGTTACTGAAATTGGTGGAGCTTCACCAAGTTATAGTTTTTGAAACATAAAGAATGGCATTAAGTTAATACTTGAGCCCAAGTCACACAATACTCCACCTTCAAACTTATCTCCAGTCATACAAGGAATCAAAAAACTACCCACGTCATGACATTTCAAAGGTAACTAGTTACAAAAAAAAAAATAGCTTTGCGCTTTTTAGTATGTGTTACAGTATTATATTCACCCAATTTTCTTTTCTTGCTCAACGTCTCCGTAAGGGATTTTGCATTTGTTATAAGGCTTCAATTAGAGTGATAAATCATATTTTTCACATATTTTTATCCTATTCACTTGGTGTCTTTATTGATGAATTGTGACTAATTAATTAGACTATATTTTATTTTAGTTGAATGTGGGTATTAGTTGATTAAATCTTGAAAATTATGATTAAATTCTACATTTAATATTTTTGCACATGTGTCGATTGAATGATATTTTATTTTGTGCAGATTTTTGGAGCTAAATTGAAGATCATTAATGGAGATTGGGCTTGAAGTGGACTCTCAATTTTATAATCTCAATCTGTATTTTTCTCTTGGGTAAAATTGTACGTAACTTGCAAAAAGAACGAAGAGGGGGCGGAAGCGTTCTGATCGCAAACTTCTTCATCGTCTTCTTTTCTTCAATTTCCTTCGGTGATGGCTTCTTTTGCTTTCAATCTCGCCTGGTTCTGTCCCATTCTTGGAGCAATGAAGCTTTAGTTTTCTTGTATACTAGCTACAGGTTTCAACCCTAAGATGTGATTGGTGTCTTAGAGTTATCATGGATGCTGTCTTTGACATTTTGCTCTCTTTTGTTATGACTTCTATATAGATCTATATGCTTCATGTATGTTCAGATTTGAGCATAATATATATGTTGTTATTTGAGGGATTTTGTTGCTATTTAGATTTGAATTAATATGCTTTAATGGAATTTTTTGATGTGAAAGTTTCACAAATCCCTCTTTTTATTACTGCGTTGTGTGAAAAGTTTATATTTTCCAGATTGGGGATATAGATTTTGCTATTTTTTTCTTGAACTTTAGATACATGATAAACTTCTAGTTGATCAATTAGAGTTTTGGGAAGGAAATTAGTGGAGAAAATTGATAGATTTTCTCTAGATTTTCTCTATTTGTGAAAAATTCCATGATTAATCGTTGCTTGAGTTTTGTTCAAATTTGAGAGAATTGTCATTTAACTTTGAACTAAACAAAGACATAAAACTAGAATGATAAGTCACGAATTTAAATTTGAAATTTTCTTGAGGAATCTCAATAAAAGGAATCAAATTTTATTTTGGACAAGGACAGTTGCAACTTAAGGGAAGAACTTATAATTAATTGCATTTCTCACTATAAATTTTAGTTAATTGTTAAATAGCTGGTTTGTTTATCTTATTTTTGTTGATTAGGTATTTCAAATTCCAATTTCAAAAAATCCTTGTTTAGTTTTTTTAATTTAACTTTTGTTTTATTTGTCAAAAATTCTAATTTAATTGGATAAATTCTAGATTCCTTGGGAAACATCCTGGATTGCTTTATATTACACATCTTGAAAATTATTTTTGTTTTGGTGCTATTCAATAGTAAAGATGGGAAAACAGGCAGGCCCACCTATTAAGGGCCTAAGTCCTGAAACTCAATTTCTCAAATTTGAACAAATCTTGAGACCTAGCCTTTATTAAAAGGGCTCATGATAGAGCCCAAAATCCTGATTTAAAAAAATCAATATTATAATTTAATTTTGTTCTTTTAGAATATAATTTAATTCAATATCATAATATTTAATATTATAATTCAACTCTAAAATTCAACATAAACTAAATTAAGGTCTCATATCATAAAAAAATAAATAAAATATTTTAAAGTCTAAATACATGTTAGTTGATGCCATCAAAATTCATAACAAAGTTTTATAAACAAAATATATGAGACATATCGATATGATCTTTACAGAATAAGATAGGGGCTTAGAATTTCTAAATCAAATTGACATTTTAAAATTAAGTATCCAATTGAAATTTCTAACATCCATGGCCTAAAAAATAGGTTATGCTAGAAGAAGAATTACCTAAGAGTAAGAGAGCCAAAAAGATAAAGCAATAGAACACTGAGAGGTAGACATTGAATTAAGAGATGATAAGGAGAGGTGAATTGAGAGATGGAGAGAGCCAGAGGGTGAGCAAAGTGATGAGAGAGAGAGAGGCGAGACAACTAGAGGAAATGAGATGAAGACAGGTAGAGAACTTGAAAGGATTGAATGTTTAAGAGATGAAGAGAGTTAGAGAACTTGAAAGGATTGAATGTTTAAGGTTTTTTCACATATGCCAAATAGTGCATTCCAAGTTAAAAGAGAAAAAAAACAGGGCTAAGAGAGCCACCCAAAACCGAGCCCCTTTTTTCAGGATTTATTAAAGCTGGGCCTAAAAGCCTAATTACCCTAAAAATTCATCATTTTTTTAAGCTTGAACCCTTATTTAAATGAGGCCTCCAAGCCCAACCCTTATTCACATCTCTATTCAACAGTAGTGTTATAGAGGAATGTTGATGTGCAATTTCTTGCAAATCCCTAAAAACTTCTTGTATTGCTCCTATAAAGCCCTTTTTTAGAATATGAGGGAATGAAAGTAGAGGAACCCAATTTTTATGCTCATTAATTGATCCCTTTATGTTAACTAATTTTTCTCTTGGAATCTCTTTTTCACTTTTTCTCTTCAACAACAATTGGTTTGACATTAATAGGCTTAGTAGTGATTTCATGTTCATATCAATTTACTTCTTGCTTATATCGATTTACTTTTTGCTTAGACTAAGACTTAGATGTAGAAGTAAGTCTCTCTGGTATTTGCATTCCACTTATGAAAGTAATCATTTTATGCTCCTCTTTTTCTTTTGTTCGAGGGCTAATCACCATATTTCTTAACCACTCTCCTTGATGGAGTGCATTTATTATTGTTGCAATCTATCCCATTTGTACCTCAAGATTTTTGAGGCTTGAATTCACTCTTGCTTTAATAACATATTGTTCATTATTGCTTTTTATTTGAAAAGACACTAATATATGGATCATATCTTATAAATCAGCCCATGGCTCTT